TAATGCACATTCTTTTGCAAAGGAATGAACAAGGATTATTGAATCCCACTCATATTTCACAGCTGCATGCTGGTTAGAAAAGAATTGTGTTTCAGTTTTGGTTGCAACTGAAGCAAGAAATATGAACTGATTTAATCTTTGCTCTTAATCCTGATTCATATGAATTCATTTAATCTGATAAAACATAACTGGAAGAGTTTCTTCTTGAACATAGGATTCCTTCAGTCACAGTGCATTAATTAGTTGCATTAGGCTGTGAAATTCTGTATACCATCAGTAGTGGCACAGACAAGGAAGAATCTTCTAATCTATAACAAAAAAAAAAAAAAACAGGAAAAAAGTGAAAGCAGGGTTGAGTGCTTCTATACTGAGATTTATTTTTGCAAATTATAAATAATTCCATTAATTTTAAGTTTGTTCAGGAATCAGGAATTGCTGTTCCTGATTGCTGAGTTTTCTTTTTACATGTAATGCCTCTCTGTCACTAAGAGGTGTAGTAGTTCTGTATTGTGTGGTGGTATTGTTCATGCAGCTAAGGTTGTGTTTTAAAAATGTGGTTTACCTGTACCTGTGTAACATGATTTAGTTATGTGAGTCACCTTTAATCAGTGTTGTTCCTTGCTTCTTGAGTGAGATGGAGAGCATTGTAGGGAAGGATCTAGCACAGTGCATGTGTGAGGGGAGAAATGGATCTTTAGGATGTTGGTGACAAATATAAGTTTTGAGACACGGAATTTGTTATAAAGGTGAAATTTTGAGTTTGCTCAGGATATTTACAACTTGGTCAAACTAGAGGATAAAGCTATTAAACTACTGAAAAGATGACCCACCAAGCTGTGAACTGATATTTATTCTAGAAAGGGATAGATCAACCTCCCCTATCCCACACCAGTAGTATGTGTAAGCTTCCAAGCACATTAGGCTGGTTAAGAATCAAGCCTTTGTAAGGGAAATTGTGCCTGCTAGGTTGGATGATAATGACAAGGTAGGACACTTTAAAACTGCAATTGTTTGCCTGCTTGCTGACATGTTTTCAGACAGTATTTTTAATGTAGGGTGACATTCCTATTTACCATGCTTTGGTTTGCATTTTGGGAGCAGTCTTGTGCACAAATGAGATGGCTTTTGGAGGAAACTACATCAGACAACACATTTCAGGTGCAGCTGGTGTTCAGTCACAAAACCAGCCTATAACTGATCTGGCAAAAAGGCTGCGAAGCCCAAAGTATGTCAGATCCTAAGTGCCAAATGATTTGTTTTATAGATTGACCCCTGTTATCTTATCCACATGTCAGCTGTTAGTATGTCTCAGGAGGATTAGTTCAACATATAACACCTCAACAGTGTGGCCTCTGAAGCTGTGAGAAAAGGCAATAATAAAGTGGAAATGGCATTTAATGATGTTGTTGTTTCAGCAAGTGAAGAACTAAACAAAAAAAAAACAGCATCTGCGTTTGTGTGGTATTTTTCCGCCCTTTTCCACTGAAATGGATGGCATCAATAGTTTTGTTGACACTTATTCTAGAAAAATGGGAGGATGTGTACTCGTGAAAATCAGGAAAATGCAACTGTACTCAATTCAAAGATAATACCCCTTCCTATTCCACTGGGTTTCCTAGCCTTTGATTCACTGAACTGAAATAAAACCTTCACCTGGTTAATGTTAAATTATCTTGAATCGTAGAAAACTCAAGCTCTTTTAAAAATAGGAGAAACTTAATTAAGGGACTTGAGTGGCAAGCACAGATTCTTATCCCTTCATTAAGAAATTGCCCTTTAAGGCAATATTTATAAATCCAAAACTATTGCTTTTTTCTTTGGTTTGATGGGGGAGATGAAGCAATAATTTTTCAACTGATTTAACATTTTTTAAAAAGGTTACATGATTTCCATTTTGAAGCATGAAATCTGTGGTAGTTCAGTTTTACACATAACGTTCATTGGGTTTGAGAAGATTCTTGTATATTCATTGATAGTTTAACATTGTTTCCAGGTTAATTTTCAGTAATGAATAAAGAGTTAATCCAATCTTGATTTCATATTGTGTTCTTGTAAATACACCTTAGTTGCTGAACTTTCCACTTGTAGAGCTGTATTTCATCTACTACGGAAAATTATTGTTTTCTGTGCCTGTACTATTATCTCTGTGCTGGAGGTAGCTTAATGTAAGGCTATGCTTTGTTGTATGGCTGTATAGCTTTTACACTGATATGATGCGAAAAGTGGTAAATCCCAGTACTATTGCAATATTATTTGCTTTTTGGATTTCTGCTATGCCTCTGTTCCTTCTCATTTCTGAGACATGGCCTTGTGTGCTTCCTCTCAGAAGGACAAGGGAAGTTGGGGGTGGATGTACTGACCAAACACGATGGGCGCTGTTCCCTTCTGTCCCCTGTGTAATATCAAAGCCAGGTTGCACCTGTTGTCTTTGTTATTGAGTAAGTCCCCCCAAAAACAGAGGTTTATTTGGGGATTCCCCCTCCGGATCCCAGTTAAGTGGCAGAAGAAAAAATTCTCTACTCTGCAGCAAACCACATAGCCAGAAATTTCTCAAGTTTAGTTCCCAAGTCCAGTAAGTCCAGCTTGGCCGATGATAAGAGAGACCCTCCCACTTCTGCCTGAAAATTCTGCTGTCCTCACATCCAGAAGATGATATAGTACCATAATAGTTGGTGGTGCTACAGTGCTCCTCCCTGCATCTGTATTGGCATAATGGAAGAGTCAGCTGTGACTGATAATGAGTACTGTAATCATGACTGGGAAACATTTTGAAGCAAGGAATAGTTAGGTTTTAAAATAGCTTTTATGGATCAGTTGGTAACATGCATTTTAGTGTACTCTGCCTCTGTTTTTGCTCTTTGCAACCAATACACTGTGCACAGTGTAAATGATTACTTTGGAGTGGGAGATAGCATCCTTTATTACAGACAAAAAGAGAGCTGTAAAGGGAAGTATGAGTAGCTCGAGGGGTTTTATGTTGGTGTAAAACATACACACTGGTTTGTACTAACATTCATAAACAGCTGCACTCAAACATAGATGATGCCATGCTTTGAAAACGTGTGACAGTCTGAGCCTTGAATGAAGCATCTTTGAATAATCAGAAAACCATGCTGATCTTGTAGTATCTCAGCATGTCTTTCTCGCTGCCAAGTCGGATCTTTATTGTGCTAGAAAAATAAATACAGTGTTCAGGTCTGTACAAACAGAAACATCAATGTTTATATCATAATATTTTCCTTTCAAAGATAGAATAAAGCAGCTACTCCACCCTAGTTTCGAAAAGAGAAAGAATTTCCTTAAGCCTGCTCTTGAACTTTTTTTAAAAGAAGTATAGATTTTAACAATAGCATAAAAGGCCCCCACAGTTCCTTCTTTTTCCTAGTTCATTTGTAATACCTTGTCAGAACTTTTGGGTTCATTTCAATAAGGCTGGAAAACTAAGTACTTAGAACCCACTGCATGCTTTAATCTTAAATGAGGGTTTATATCCCTTTTCCTCCCCACTATAATCTCCATTTGAGAACAGCTTCTAAAGTAATAAGCCCTGCAACTAAATTCCCAGTAAAGGAGAGGCTTTATCATACTGGGTAATTGGATGGGTTGTGACTGATAAAAGCAGCTGGGACCGTGGTGTGAATGGAGCAGAGCTGTAGTGACTCAAGTGTGGAGTTTTGCTATCTTTTGCCCTATTCTAGTTAAAGTTGTTACCTCCTAATGGGCCTTTGAGCATGTGCTTCCAGTTTTAGAACTGCTAAGGTAGTTTCCTTAAAGTTCTGCAGTACCATTGTCATACTGTGGCAGATGCTGCATCATAATTTCATTTTAATTGTATACATTTTGAAACAATTCTAATTTTCATTCTGCTCCACTTTTCCCTGTCTGTAATTAATCTGTGTATTCCTGTGTGCTGCATAGTGCAGTCCATGATTTTGATTTAATTTAATTGAAATATCCTATGTAATGGCTGTTTGCTAAATCTTTGGTAAAAAGAAAGAGCTTGTTGGGATGAAGTTGCAACTGGTTTTTAGGTTCTTTGCTGTATAATATGTGCTTTTTAAGCTGCACTTAGACCTGCTGGATAATCATGCTAATTTATTAGTCTCATAGAGGAGATAGATAGATAGATAGATAGATAGATAGATAGATAGATAGATAGATAGATAGATAGATAGATAGATAACCAGTTTTGTTGTGTGCAAAAAGTTGTATATATTTCCATTTCTCAAAAAGCAGGCAGTGTAAGTGCTCACAGAAAGAGGATTCTTTTTTTCTTCTCTGAATTTTCCAGAATAGAAGTTTTTCTGTCTTTAAATAAAAAAGAAAACAACACCTTCCTTCAAAACCCAGTGTTTACTGGCACTGGTTCCGTCAACAGCCTCAGAGTAACCAAAGTTACCTTCTCTGACTTTGTTTTGAGGATCAGACCCAACAGAATTTTTGGCAAATGCTGCAGCATTTGTAGTGCACACCTTCACTAGCTGTACAGCATTGTCTTTTAATTTAATTTTAATTTGTCTTTTACAAAGTTCAAGGTATTTAACAAAGCACTTTGAACAACTTACATTTTCAGTGTAAGGGGAACAGACCGATCTCTTTGCTTCCTAGAACAACCTGTATCTCTCAACTTTTTCCGGAATGGCTTTACAGTACAAAAATTACACCTTTTAGAAGGAGTTCGCCAGTTGGCCTCGTATGACCTGCTTTGCATCCTGTATTAGTGCCTTATTAAAATAATTCGACTCCGAAAATAATAAGTACAGAACATCAAAACATCATAACGGCATGAAAATTACATAACTTTGAGATGTTTTTGAACAGAACGTATTTGGAAACTTCTCTGAGGTAATTTTTCGTTGTAATCAGGTGTTTTGCAGGCATTTTTTAAGGATGGCTGGTTGGTTTTGATCATTATCCTTGCCAAAACCCCCTTTTTTTTCTCAACTACTTAAATTTACTATTCCCACACTAATACTTCGCTGCTTTTGATTTTTTTCTAGGGCGCCAATGCCTCAGCTTTGGAGAAAGAGATTGGTCCGGAACAATTTCCAGTCAATGAGCACTATTTTGGTTTGGTTAATGTAAGTTTCAGACCATAACTTTATTGCTTTGAAAGGACATGAATAGGTTGATTGAATTACAAGGCTATGACTGAGCGAATACTTAAAATTCTGAAAGGTACTGTCATTCAATATACATACGATTGAAATGTGTTTCAGTGTTTAGTGTATTTGTTGAAAAATGCTACTGAATTGTTGAAATTGTTGAAATGGGCTCTCCATTTAATTTTGCTAGTTGTAGGGTAATTTTGCATCACTTTAATGTTATTAAAATATATAAGTCTTAAAGAAGGCTATTTAAAATGTGTCACTTTTTGTTCATAATATGCCAATAAAGTAAAATAAGTGCAGTAAAAGAAGAAAAAGCTTTGTGGAAGACTATTGATGATATTAAGTGTTTGTATCTGATATTTTTATTAAGATTTAAAAAAACACTACAGCCCAAAGGGGAAAGCAGTGGTGAAAAAAAACCATACTGGATTGCTTGAATAATAATTAGTTTTATGGAACTATTTAAACTTTTATTTAATGAAAAACATGTATTTTTAGAAATGGCATGATACTGACATGAAATATTAAATTTTTCTTTTTTTTAGGGCTTCAGAAACTACACAGTTATAACAAGGTGGTTTAAAAGGGGCTATCATATTGCTTTTTGTAATGAACCCAGTTATTTAAATGTTGTCCTGGTGCTGTAGTGTGTCTCTGCCTCCAGGTGCTTAGCACTGACCTGGTCGACAGTCTGCAATCCAAGTATTCACGGTTGAGTCAGTAAACACTCAGTGATAACCTGACTTGTGTGCATCTCAAAACACCATCGCTTAAAATAGCGATTTCTTTTCCTTTCTCACGAATGCTGAAATACCCTCCAAATGCCACCTTATTTCTCTCAAAATAGGCAATACAGCAGTTTTGCTGTTAATACCTGTCAGTTCTGCAGCTGAGCTTACGCTTTCCATTTTTCCAATCATAGGTTTTCACAAATCGGTCACTCTGTTGACAGATAAACTGTTTTCCTTATTTCTTGTCCAAGTCCAGAAGTGATTTGAGACTTAACAATGAAATTGTATTGCATAACTTGTACATAGTTCATACATGTTGTACATTGTTTATTGTATATCTTGCACACAGTATTGTCCATCTTGTTGAAGTTTAGCATAGTTTGCACCCTTAAGAAGAGGTTCAATAAAGTCTTCCTAATATTAACAAATTCTGGCTTTTTCTACTCAAGAGGGAGTAGAAATTTGAGGGAATATCTGTCATTGCCCACAATCGTACACATAAGAGACAGGCACCTACGATGTACCAGAGGGCTTTTAACTTTGTCTGCTGCAGGAATTTTGCTTATTTTGGCTTCGAACAGAAAAATTTTATGAACTAAAATTGTTTGAGTTGTAGCAATTAATAAAATGGGATCTCATTACATTTATGGCACTTTGGTGCTGGTTTTCAGGTACAGTGGTTGGCAAGGGGAATTCAGTGACACTGATGCCCGAATGGTTTTCAGATCTGTTCTGCAGGCTGTGTTTACTAACACAGCACGTACACACCATAAATGTGTAATGAGCTTGCAGCATGTAAATCTGCCAGGAAGAGTAAAAGTAACAAACTATGGCCAATGACTAGAAAAAATGACAGATATAATGATAGTGAAAAGAAGTACTAGATAATTAGATAGTAAATTAGTACTATTAGGTTGAGAAGCGATAGAAATCACAATTTTTGCCTTCATTGATTTCTCTAATTTTTTGTAGCAATTGCAAGAGGTGCATCTCCTAGAGGTTCATTAACATTTACTGCTAAATTTTTCTAATTTGTTTGTTGATTTTGTTTGCCCTTACTTTGTCCAGAGTAGTGGAAAAAAGGGAAATAATGTGGACTTCAGTAGCTCTCTTCTGACTGTGTGATAGCTAACCATTTGAGGTGTCTGGAATACAGAAAAGCATTTTAGATAAAGATGACAGATGAAATAGATGTCATGACAGATGATGATTGACAGATGAAATAGAGATCTGTCAATTTATCTAGAGGTGCCATGAAAGGAGGCAGAAGATCTTTTCCAGCTTTGTGGTAGAACCTAGGGATTGTTCAGAGGATATGCTGAAAGAGCAATTCGAGAGGTCAAAGGGCAGTTAAGGGAAAACATAAGGAAGACCAGATGGTTGATGGGATTGGAAAATTCAGCTTAGACTTGAAGGGACTAATACCATTCACAAAATCAGCATGAAATATGTAAGATATGTGGTAAGGTGAAACATTGGTAATGTGATGTCCCGTGCATATGGTCAATCAGGACCATCAAGTTTGCTTATCATTCTTCTTTCCCTGTTCAGTGCAGTAATGCAAACTATTCAAATCCATGTGCTTCACAATTAAATCAATCATTTTATCCAGTGAGCATGAAATGAAATTTTTAATCTCAAAGAGTTCTCTGGAAACTGATTAGCAGTTTACGAGATTTGTAGAGCAGAAGGTTTTTTATTCAGTTTCTTGCAATGGATCTGCGTATTTTGAAGAAATCCTATTCACTGGAGTGGCCCAGTTGCAACAACAGAAAGTTAATAGAGCTGCCAGTGTATCAGAGCTGAGAAGAGCCCTAGAGCTGCACAAAACCAGTGTTCCAACCAGATTCAAGTTTTAGTAAATCCCTTGTTGAATGTAGTTCAACAGCTATGTTTCTTCCCATTTATATGTGCATCAGAAGAGTAAACTATGAGACTATAAGCGTTCATGGATGTGCAGTGTTTTTGTTACAGTGTTTTTGTTTTCCCTACTATCTCATTTTTATTATTTCCACTCTTTCGTTTTCTGTTATTTCTGTTATATAGGTTTGGGTGTTGTAACTTTGATTTCAGAGTTTAAAAGAACAAAAAAAAAGGGGTGTCTGTGTGTAAAACATAGAGAATGCAGTATTTTTTATGAAAGAAAACAATCCGATTTCTCAGAATCTAGATCAGAAGAACAGTATGAACTGATWAAAAGAGAAAATGTGGATTTTTTATATCTCTCAGACATGCATAGTGTAAGATGGTCTTTCTAATTAAATTTTCTTCACGAGTTTGCTTTCAAACATTTTTCTGTTACTTGCTGTGTTTCTCAGTTTGGTTGGAAAAAGCTTTTTATGAACTTAATCTAGTTGCTTTTATTTCATAGTCACAGGCATGTAGGTTAACATACATTCATATTAAATTAGTCTGAATTTTGTTCAGCATTCTGAGGTCTTCATGTTTTGGTTGTTTCTCACCACATGGTTGCTGTTCTAATCAATTTATCATCAGACTGCTCCTTTTTAAAATTGGAATCTTATAAAATTTCTAATTTGCTTGCTTTTTATCTTTTGACACTTCCTGTAAAAATTTTAGCGCTTTTCCAATTTGATTAAATTTTAAGAACTTTCTGAGCGCTTTAATGTAGTTTTCTTTCTATGGCTGTTTATAAACTCATAAATACTTAGCTTACAATATTAAAAGTTTTGACAGAAGCTACTGTGTAATTTTATCAGCTTCCTTTAAGGTAAAAAGCCCCAGTTTTCCTCATGGGCTTATTTGCAGATTTGGACCACAAAAAAGCTAATATAAGCATTTTTCTGGCTTAAATAAAGAAAAAGAATGGATGTCAAATTCCTCACTTTTTAATATGGATACCTGCATGACATCCTAGTGTTTTTTTAAAATATGCTTCTTGCTTATTCTTTGAGTTTGTCTTGTTTACTTAGAAGGTAGTTCTTCCTTTTTCATTAGTTTAAAATAGAGGAAACCAATTAATTTTTAAGTTTTGTAATTAAATTGCATGGGGCTCTTGTTTACCTTAACAGAGAGAGAGAGCAAAAAAATACTTCCCTGTTATGTGAAAGCTTTTAGTTTTTTCTCAGTTGGAGGAGCCTGCTCTTAAAATATCTCTAAAGGCAATCTTTGCTATGTAATTCTTCTCATCACAATAATGAAGTCTCAGAATTTGCTACCTATATGTGCTGCTATCTTTATAGATAATGTAAATCTGAACGTTATTTCCACGTTTTGCAGAATGTGTGTAGTAGGTACATGCCTCAGTTTGCAGGTTGCGTGACAGCAGCTGAAAGGTTTGATTACTTGCTGAGGGCCTTGTAAAGACCTTTTTCTCACACTTTCAGTGGTGGATAATAGGTTTCACTGGAGGAGGGCAGCATAAAATTAGAATGGCAGCATAAAATTAGAATGGCTTTATCCACCGACAGCTCACGACGCCCGCTCAGATATGATGGGGAGGTTTGCAATGTTGTGGTGAGCTGGAGACACTGTCACTGATCACAAGACTCAGGTGCCCAAAGGAGTCTGGGGAAGGGGGACATCTGGAGTGCCCCACCTGGGGTGTGCTGGTACAAAGTGGGTTATGGATGCTTTTCTTGCTGGCTCTGCTATCCCCTTTCACTCCAGTGGCTTGCCTCCTTCAAAATGTGCACATCCAAATTGTGATCTCTTCTTGCAATCTGGATTTCAAGCTCCCATAGCTTTAAATCCTAAAGCAAGCCATGTCGCATTGGCATTCAGGAGTTCCCTTAAACCAATCTTGTCACGCTGGAACGAGAACTGAAACAGGTTAAAGTAGTTATTTTTGACTTGAAAGGCACCTATTAAGATTTGAAGAATCTAATTTCTAAAGTGTCTGAGAAGCTCTCCATTTTCATTGAATTTCTTCACAGTACAAGGTCACGTTGTGCCTGTTCTTTGCTGTTGTGGCTGATGTGTGGCAGACAGAGAGATATTTTTACCTGGGCATATATTGGGAGTTGTGAAATTGGGGATATTTGTTGAACATGGTGACCCAAATAGATGTAAAATATTACCAATAAGTTAAATTTTAGGTGAGACAAAATGAAATGGTATTGTTCAAATTTACCTGGTATTCAAATGGTATTTAATAATGAATAATATGTTCAAATGGCATTCAAATTTTTTTTCATGCATTTACGTGCAGTGTACTTGGTAATCCTTTTTTGTGACATTAACATGTTTTCCTGATTTTAAAGTCAGGAAGAAGCGACTTGCAGAAAGTTGGCCCCTGCTTATGCACTCTGTTATACTTTGAAGTTAATTTTACCTCTCTACAGTAATACAATGCAGACTAACAGATCTCTCTCTTGTTTTGTAGTTCGGGAATACATGCTACTGCAATTCAGTTCTCCAGGCACTTTATTTTTGTCGACCATTTCGAGACAAAGTCTTAGCCTACAAGAGTCAGCCAAGAAAAAAAGAGAATCTCCTTACATGCTTAGCTGATCTCTTCCACAGTATAGCCACACAGAAGAAAAAAGTTGGAGTAATACCTCCCAAGAAATTTATAACAAGATTACGAAAAGAAAATGGTAACTTTTTTTCTTTGTCTTGTGCAATAATTACAGCAATTATGATTTAATTCTGAAGCTGGCATAGTGGAATACCTATGTATTTGTTACACATAGAAAGTGTTCTTGGTACTGTAGTATAAACAGGAGGTGACCCTGGGATAATGGTGTACCCTGGAGATGTTTTGAGACAGAATCCTTGTGTCTCTCTCTTCATGTAGAACCAAAGTGTATTGTCGTATTGTCACTGGCTGCTTATAAAATTGATTGCTAGTTTTGCTTCTGTGAGTTCTATATTTGTAATCAAAATTCACTGTAAAACCTTTGTTCTTTACTTAAATTTTTTTTTTGAATGGGGGAATGGAGGTGTCTCCCAGACTAAGTGTATGGAGAGACTTGCCTGTAAGAATCTAGTTAAATCCCCCCACATTTTAAAATTAATTTAGAATTTATGTAAGATGTAACTTGACTGACTTTTTAAAGAAGTAATTCGTTTTAAAACCACTAAGCAGTTTTGGCAAATTGTTTTCTATTTGTCATTGTTATCCTAAATTTCAAGAGATTTCTAGGGATTTTTCACATTTGTTGTTTCCTGTGTGCAGGGCTAATTGGTCAGTGTTTTAGAAAATGATTTGATGTTTAAATAGAAATGAAGCCTTGTAATCTATCACTCAATTTGGATGCAATTCTATAAAAATGGGACTTCTTTTTTTCCTAAGAAGTAACTACTAGATTTAAATAAACTGTGTGAGGTACCATACTTAACGCTGCTGCAATAGACATGTTCATACTTTTGCAATCTTTCCAAGACTATGAATGCAGACTGAAAAAGCATTTAAATGGTAGGATGACTATCTCTGTAGTAAAAACAAGAAAATAAAATATAATCGCTTTTCTAGTTTGACATGGCTCTTCCAGCAAATGCACTCCATGAGCTGTAATGGTATTGTTAAAAAAAAAGCTCTTGGGTGCCGTGCAGTCACTTGCCTGTGCAGAGCAGAAAGCTGTCATTCCCTTCTTTGGCTCCTATACTTGAGTAAGTGTGCTTGTGTTTGATACATTTATAGAAACAGTTCATTATAACAAATGCAGAGAATCATTCAGATGGAAAGCAGAAGGCAAACCACAGGAGTCATTAAGTTCGTTATAGAAAGTGTTCTTTGTAATGTGTAATTATGTCATGCCACTAAAATTCTACACAGGGCAAGGCAATTGGAAAACCTTCAGTAGAGAAATCAGATGTGGAAGTTCAACCCTTATAGTCTTGGGTCTCTTTTAATGATGATTCTCTCACCTTTTGAACAAATAAATAACTCAATTCAGGTTGCAATTACATGGGTATCATACATGCCTTTAAGTGCTTATTGTAAAGGTATAGAATTCTGAGCTTTAAAGAAGAGTTTATTTAAGAACCAGGTAGGTGTGTGCAACACCAATCTAGAATCTCTTCCAGTCTGTGTCCAGCTATATCAGGTTGATAACTGAGGACATCTGGAATATATTCCAGACTAAAAGCTGCTGTTCCACCTTTATTTTCAGTGTCTGAACACCACATATGTATATTGTACATCTCCAAACTGGAGAGGAGCTTTTCTAGTGACAGGACTAGGGGAATGGCTTTAAACTGAAAGAAGGCAGGTTTAGATTAGATATTAGGAAGAAATTCTCCACTATGAGTGTGGTGAGTCACTGGCTCAGGTTGCCCAGAGATGCTGTGGATGCCCCATCCCTGAAAGTGTCCAAGGCCAGGATGCCTGGGATTTTGAGTAACCCGGTCTTGATGGAGGGTGTCCTGATAGAGAGCAGGGGGGCTAGAACTCAGTGGTCTTTAAGGTCCCTTGTAACCCAAAAAAATTCTGTGTTTTTCTATTGATGACTTTAAAGTTTAATTGGCTGGGAAGCAGCTGCTGGCTTTAAGTCACATTTGCGTAAAGTTCTAATCATAAAATGAACAAACTGTAGCTTTCATTTTGCTGTAGTTAATGCTAATTAGTGGCTGGGCACATAGCCCTGAGAGGCCTCTGAAGAACCTCTGAAGTCTTAACTTTACCTCAAGAGACTTTTAGCTGTTGTTCTGCCTTGATTTACTTGTTTAAATAAAGACCTTGCAGTTGGCTAGATTGAATTTACTAATCTCAAAAATAGTGTAGTAGTTCATTACATAAACTACATGGTTCATATTCTTGACTGACCTATTGCCCTACTTAACCTCTCCAAATAATCTAGATTAGCATCAATATTTCCCTACTTCACTAATAACCTTGGATTTTTTTTTTTTTATTTGAAGTTTATTCCTGGATGCCATCAGGTGAATGATTAAATAAAGCTTCCATGGAGCCCCTGTATGCATTTCAAAACTTAAGTTTCGCTCAGTATCTTTCTCATTCATTCTATTTCTTAGTACATTCTTGGACTGCAAGCAAATTGAAGTAATCGCACGTTAAAAGACTTGTGTGATATTAGCTAGGGATATAGAATGCTTAGTAAATAGGCAGGTAAATTTCCTCTTAGCAGTTCCTGGCCAGAAAGAAAAGAAATAACTGTTACTAAATCTGTGTTCTACAAGACATTGACCTAAGTTTGGAAGAGGTAGCATCCAGTGCTATCTGGAGGCTGGACAGGATGGCCTATACCAGTTCAGGTGGCATTCCACGTACCCCTGTGTTGAGGCAGTTGATTTTTCCCTGGTGTTCTTGCAGAATGGTTCAGTCTTCTGGTAACTCCAATCAGCTGAGTGATTTCTGTCATTGTAAGCTGACTTGCTGTCCCCTCTTCCCACCCCCTATTTTTTTGACCTATTTTATCCAGTAGGCATTTTGAGTTGGTGTTTTATTGCCACGAGTGATTTAGGATGTGAAATAAAGAACTAGGTTTGAAATTTGACTCTCTTAAAAAAACTTTCGTAGTATAGCACTAACCTATCAATTAAAAAGTTGTGTTTTATCAAAAATTTTGTTTTATTTTGCAGAACTTTTTGATAACTACATGCAGCAGGATGCACATGAATTCCTAAACTATCTGCTGAACACAATCGCGGATATCTTGCAAGAGGAAAGGAAACAAGAGAAGCAGAACGGGCGCCTCCCTAATGGCAACGTGGACAGTGAAAACAACAGCCCACCAGATCCCACCTGGGTGCACGAAATCTTTCAGGGAACCTTAACTAATGAAACCAGATGTCTTACTTGTGAAACTGTAAGTCTTTGTGTGTTTCAGAACTATGTGCTTTGTGATTCGTTTGTCCCGGCAGACCAACAGATTACATTGATTTCTTTCTTTAGTAATCTTTATATTTGCGTGAATATTTGCATTTTTGATTTGTTAGTGAGAGTATTCCAACAGCTGATGTATGAATTGTAGGAAAAGACATTTGGTCAATATTAGGAAAATGCCCAATTGGATTTTTTTTTGTCAGTGGGATCATAATCACCTTCAAAATTTAGACCAGAAAATTCTAAAGTGATGTATTCTTGAGAAAAATACAGTCTGCGATTTGAGAATGTGAGGTTCTTCCCAAATTTAATGTCGTGCTTAGTGATACATCCCATACATATGGATGAAGAATCACTTTCCATGGATTTCTAGTTTTTAAATTTAAAGCCCTTGAAATCAAGATACTTATGTTTGGCTTTTGGCACTGAGATAGTAGACTGGGATTCTCAAAAAAACATACCTTCCTGTTCAGGAAAAGTAGTCCTTTCCTAAATGTCTATCCACAGGAATTCTTCTAATGCTACACCTTGAGAAATAAACTCACTCTGTCTGAGTACACTATACTAAAATTTTCTTTGAGCAGTTTTACAGTAAGAGAAAGAACGTATTTCATAAAACCTTTAAACTCAATTTAGCTTGAGAAAGAGTGAAAGCAGCACAATTTGAAAATTACAGTAATCGTCCTGGTCTATGCCTTAGAGATGGCAAAAAAGCTAAATGACTGTGGTTTATGTGTAACTCCTCATACAAATTTTCCTTAACTTAATTAGGTAATGCAGATATTTCAGCATGATGTTGGAAAGGAGGTATTCATCAAATCTGTATATTTCACATGTAATTTTTTCAGTCTTCTAGAAATGGCCACTTCTTTTACTTCAAAGTAAAGATCTTAATATCATACATAATGCAACTGCAGACTATGAGTAATTTAGATGGTGATTTCTAGCTACCATGTTTTCTTTTCTGGCAGATTGCCCTTCCCTAACAAGTATTTCTTGGCAACCATCAAATTGCTTCTCTTTTAGTTCTTGAATGGGTTTTTCTTTTTTCTTGAAACATGAGTTTAGCTTAAGTCTTTTGACACAACTGACATCATTACCTTTCCTCACAGGGGGATAATGAATTACTGCTGTCAGGATTTTGATCTAGGTACCATCCCTAATGCAATTTTAAAGCACTGATGTGCTCTTTGCTGGCATATTTTATTAGTTATCAGGCCTGTCACAATTCCGAGAATTCTGCTAACACTGCTCAGTTTTGTTTTTCTATTAGCTATTTATTCAGGTGTTGCTGAAAAAGATAATAATCAAAGTAGTCTGGAAAGTATTTCATCAGTTTTTAGTATATAGTATATCAGCTGGTATCTAAAACATAGTGACCTGAAAATGAGCACTTAGAAACACATTTGGACACATTAAATAGCTAATATTACTATGAATCCTGTCTTATTTTCAACTATGAAGTGTATATGATTATTTTAAGATTTGCTAGAAGCTGTTGACATTTAGGTTATTTCTGTGTTTAGAAGTATAATTTAAAATGTTAGGAGTGGAAATAGCTCATGTAGAAGATTATGAGCAATAGTGGATGAATTACTGCTTCTTGATAACAAGACAGTAACCCTAGTATATTTTTAATTTCAATTGGAAATTAAAGCATAACATATATATTTGCTCAAAGTGACAGTGATTATCTTCTAACTGTACAAATCTACTCAATGTTCCTAAAATGAGCAAAATTTTATTGTAATTTTATTTGTCCTCATTGTGGAAAAGAGTGTCTTTCCAGGATGCAGTGTTTCATTAGCCCATCTAAAAGATAAAAAGAGAACTGGCTAAAGATATATCCTCAGTTTAAGTATCAATAGTGGAGCATAAGGAACATAGATAAGATTCTTTAACAAAGATTTGTGTTGTGAATCAAGCTGTATTATTAAATGAATGTTACAAGAAGGATTGTAACATGTCTTAGAACGCTTTTCATGTGATTTCTTTTTATAATGCTTTCATCCTTCATTGATAGAGGCGGAATGATGAAGTGACTGTAAATTTTATGGCTAATTTATAGAAATGATCTACATGTTAATTGGTTTGACAGATTTCTCTCACAGTTTAAGGAAGAATAGCATTTAAACTGAAAATAATGTAATCAGCTTCATTGAGACTGAATTTTAAACGGCTGAATGTGGCCAGTACTTCTGCAGAGAAGTATAGGAAATTGTCAGAAACACATACATAGGAATCTCCAAATGATGGTCTTGCTCTTGAGTTCAAATTATTCTACAAAACATAAAATTCTTTGACTCAATTCTACTTTGGACGGAGAGAAGGCAATAAGGAAAATCTCAGCATTCTCTCTTACATGAGTACTACAGAGCCTTTAACTATACCTGATTTTAATTTCTCTTTTTTTTTTTTTTTTTTTTTAAACCAAGATAAATCACACACTTTGTTTCAGCTTATTTTAAAACTACTTTCTGTCTTAGTACACGTGGTTGTCTAAGTTGCAAGGGCTCTTTTTCCCAGAGCAAATTCACATTGCCAATGAAATTCCCAGCAGTAAGAAATAATGGGTTCTGTGAGTGTCAGCCTTCTGAGCTTTCTGTTCTGTGCAGCTTTGGTCATCAGAGTACAGCTGAGCTGTGTGGGTGCAGATTATGTCCTTAACGTGAGAACAGCACAACATCCTCTTCAGTCGGAACACTGGAACATCCAAATTCCTGACCATTACTCAGCTGTTCCTGTTAGGAGCACTCAGACAGCTTTTTGAACACAACAGGGCTCGATTCTACAAGTCATGAGGTTTTCTGATCATGCCCATCTTTTTTTCGTTCTATAGGTGATTGAAATATATAGCATTGGTGATTGTATTCTAAGATGCTTAGTGATGTTTATTTGAAACAGAACCTTTACAGAACAAGGTTGGTAAGACTGGAGAGTGACTTTTAATTTTTTTTTCTTTTTTTCTTTTTTTTAAAATTAAAATTGTATGAGTTAATGTTCGAAGTATCTGTCCCAATACTAAGCTTCAAAGAACCTTAAAAATTAAGAGAAGCAATTTATAAATCACCAACATAAGTGGAAAAAAACCCACTTGGCAATTGCAATAAAGCCTTTAATGGTTCCTCTTGATACTAAGTGCACAATAGACTGGCTAACCTGAGAGAGGTTTTTTTAAGGCCATATTATCACAGAGAATGAAGATTGTCCTTTTGTGAACTTCTGTTTCAGTACCCATCTCTTTTTAACCAAGTACACCACCTCCCTTCCCTCCTCCTCATATCCTCTCTGCCCTTACAGCTTCTGTGTGGGATAAAGGTGCCTGTGAAATCTGTATTGTTTCATGGAATTTTCTTTGATTAGACCAAAAGAGGAAGAATAATCTAATTGCATGGCTGAATAACACAGATCACATGACTCCCTAATTCCAGCTGTCCTAGCTGAAGACTGCAGCAACAGAGTATTTCCTAGAACTGATTTTTTTTTTCTGATCCATTCTTAATCCCCAGTTACAGTGATTTCCACCAGAGTTCCTAGTGTTACAAATTCAGGTCTGATAATTCTGAGAGTGATTTGCAATGCATTATTTTGAAGAATTGTCCACACAGCTAAACCACAGTACATCCCTGAATATACGAAACGTGCAGCACACTTAAGGTGCAGGTGGCTTTTTTTCCCCCACTCTAAACATTCTGGAAGTTTTCCATAAATGTTCTGTGATCTCTCTGAAAGCATAAACATTACACTTGAGCATCTGAATATTGCAGTAGAAATTATGTGTACTGACATAGTGACATTTTTTTATAGGCACACTTAGCTCTGGGAAAGACTAGATACAGACCAGTGTGAGCCCAGTCCTCTCACAGACATTAACAGAACCTTTCAACTTCATTTCATGAGTTTTTGGATTTGCCTTATGGTATTCTCAAAAACAGTTGTCTTGACCACCTGCTTTTTTCATATCTTCTCCATCTATGCTGCACTTAGGAGCTGTGTGTTTCTCATCTCTTTTTTGTCAGGGAACAACTTTCCACTTCTTTTTTTTTCTCTGAGTTGAAAAGGGAACATAAATGTCATGTGTTTAAAAGATCAAGTTACATTACTTCTCCAGCAATCATTTCACTTTTCCTGCTTTCAATCAAGAAGCTGCAGCCTGGTATCTTTTCTAAAAGCATTTGCTTTTGTATTTAGGCAGGGGACATTCTCATGAGTGACATTGAGTATCTTTAGATACAGAAAGGAGGCACTAGCAGACAAAAGTTGAGGTTGCACATGCCTTTTTTTATAAAACTTCGTTAAGGTAGTTGGTTTTCAGGGCAGCTGTGGATTTTTTTATCATTTGTCAGGATTTGTGGTGGAATTTTATTTTCTGCTTCTAGAATGTTCTGTTTTACTTGTTGTTCTTGCATTTTTGTGAGAGTTGGCTACTATTCTGCCTCTATCTGACCAAGCCCCAAGCTCTTATTTGCCAAATTAACTCTCTGCTGATCCTTTAAGAGTATGAATCAAGCCAGGAAGTGGCTTCAAAATATTTGTGCTGTTTATTAGCTACATGTTGACATGCAAATATAGAACTTTCAGTTCAAGGAAATTGGAGGAGAAGAACAGAGCACTTGACAGAAGAATCACAGTGATTCCATTCTTTTGAAAAATTCGAGGTATGGAAGAAACTTAGCATTAATACCGTTGATCTAGAATCACAGCACAAGGACAAATGGCATTATATACACTCAGAGACTCATACACACTTCCCCCTTCCTGAACAAAATCAGAAAATGTAGCAAATCTCTGAAATAGAAAGGCCACTTGCAAAAACTTTTAAAAGGATATTATAGGGTAAAAGATGCATTCTGTCAACAGAAAGTGGTTCTGAAAACCAGAAGTAATTAGTAGAATTTGTTTTAACTATTGGCTCTTGGTTCTTCTTCTCATGCAGGTAAGCAGCAAAGATGAAGACTTCTTAGACCTTTCAGTTGATGTGGAGCAGAATACTTCAATCACTCACTGTTTAAGGTAGACAAAAAAATCTGAATTTTTGCAGTTTGTCTTTACCTGTTACCCAGAAAGCAGGAAGTAAAACTAAAAGCTGACAGTCTTATCTTTGGTAGATTTAAGTGTATAAAATAATGTTTATATTTTACATATATGGATATTTCATAAAATACCCCAGTATTTATGTATTTGTTTTTTTACTCAGGGGTTTCAGCAACACAGAAACTCTGTGCAGTGAGTACAAGTATTACTGTGAAGAATGTCGCAGTAAACAAGAAGCTCATAAAAGGTACATCACACTCAGGGAAGGGAAAAATAACCTGTGCATGTAATGACAATGCTCTGGTGTTTCCTGTTGTGCATGTGTGTCAAGGAGAGAACATCGTTTGCCCCTAAATTTTTCTACTCTTCTTCCACTTAAAAGTAACTTGCTTGCACTCCTCATGCTAGAATTCAATGTGTGTATTTCCATGAGTAATGAGAATCCATGTCAAGCATTTTGGGACTCCTTTGATCATTATTTATTTTATAAATGGGAAAATGAATGGTCTTAAGACCAAAAATGAGTTAAAAAGCCAAGTTTAAACAAACTGTCAGTGACTAATCAAAGATAATTGGCAATGCTGAAAAGGCATTGATTGCATGTGACTTTTTAAACTTACTTTTGTTCTGAAAATAATTTTTCCAGTTGCTGATAGAATCCTTTTGATAGCACTTTCTGTAACTAATGTTGTTAACTGAGTTTCTGATTTCTTAAAAGCGTTTAATTGGTTGTGCCAAACTGCTGGACAGTGCTCCTGAAAATCATCAGAAACTCTATAAAGGCCTGAAAATCATTATGTTTTAAAACAATTCTTGTCTGCCCAGTAATTCTTCTCGTCTTGGTTATACCTTTGAAAATCCTATCATTTTGTGTATTGTGAGGCTGTTTATTATCGGAGAAAGTGTTTGGCTGAAAGAGTGGGAGCTCTGATATTCTCTACTGGTTATACTGTTGCTGCTGGTTGTTTGGTTTGCCATGGGTGCACACACAGCTTTTGCACATCTCATCTGCTGAATTTGCCTTCACCCATTGCCTGAGATTACTAATTGGTGTCTGTAAGAAGTTGTGAATCCAGGTCTGGCCCGTTGTTTTCTGTTGCCTGAGCTCTTTTTTTGTGTGGGAGGTAATGTTACCCCTGACCAATGTAAACTGGTTTCACATATACCTGTACTGTAGGCATTTCTGTATTGGCAAAACACAGCTTTGATTGTTTATATTTTAGGTCTCATGTGGGCCTTGAGTTCAGTTTCACTACAGTCATATTTTCCTTCCATCTCTTTAAAACAGTTTATCTGTGATGGGTTATACTGAATTAGCAAAGATGAGGTACCGAATTTGTTTGCCATTGAAAGAGCTCCTATTATCAAACTCTTGTTACATTATAAGGAGATTACTTAGCTTTTTAAAAAGAAAGAGAGCAGAAATTATAGCCATAATGTAATAAAAATGTACATCTTCTAAAAATAGTTGCTTCTGTCATCTTTCTGCCCTTCTCCATCTGTTTTCATTTCCTAGTTCCCTTGTGGATATTTGGAGGACATTCCCTTGTGGAGTCTAGCAGGATTGCCTACAGGTTGCTATCAGCTCAAGTTTAATGAGAAAAAGGAAAGGTGGTTTTTCAAGGAATTTGTCCACAGTCCCCTATCTTTTGAAAAGAGAGTTGTCTTTTGCAAATTTCCTAACATTCTAAACAATGACCTTAACAGACGTGTCTGAAACCTGGGCTGTGATGTAGAGACTTTAGAGCTGCCTTCTGGGGCTGAAAGCAGTTTGAAAAATTCAGCACTGTGCTGATCTAAGGCACGTGGCTGTGCCAAGAAGCAGAGCACTCTGGCTTAGTTGTTCTCTTAGGATGGGCAAATTCATTGCCCAAAGATCTGGAAGTCTGTGTTTGCTGCCAGGCCAGCTATGGTTGGCTGAGGAGGATTTGTAGCCACTGATGTGAGATCTCAATACCTCACCCGAGGGAAGGGGGCCCGTGAGACCTCAGTAAAACTAGATCACATTTTGGCTTTGACTACTGTAAAACATTGCTGCAACATTTGTACAAAATTATTGTGCCCGGGCCCAGCCTTATGTTGTTTGGATAGCAGGAGGTAAGTGGATAACAGTGGGTTGTTTGTGTCCCTTGGAAATTTTAAGTGAATGGCTTGGAAATGAATGGTCAGGAAAACTTGGAGTAATATTTCAGTGACAGAGTGGTGTAACAAAGCTTCCTTTAAAAAGCTTGTTTGGCTTGGCTGGTTTCCTGAGAAATTCAGCGGGAATAGGACCTCTGAAACAACTCTGGTGCAATACCTACACTGTATATCAAGTGGGATCTTTTGCTTTTGGCAGCTCTAGAAAGCTATGGGTAGAGTTACTTAAAAATTGAATTCCGTGTTATGTGATCTTTGTGTCTTAGTTATTATGTGAGTTCATCATGGCTGTTCTTAAATACTGTAGCTTATTGTTTTAAGTACATTTTCAGCTCTCTTCTTTGTTAAAAATACCCCTTTAGTTTAGAAACACAGGACATATTTTCAAACAGCAGATTATTTTGGTTTCTTTTAATGCTTGCAAAGATTTTTAAAAGATGTCAGTAAAACAGGTTTCCTGTTTGTTGATATTGATGGAATGTTTTGGATAAATATTGGAAATACTGTAATTTTTTTTGTTTTGTTCTTTTTTTCAGGATGAAAGTTAAAAAGCTGCCTATGATTCTAGCTCTCCATTTGAAGAGATTTAAATACATGGATCAGCTGCATCGATACACAAAACTCTCTTATAGAGTAGTTTTTCCTTTGGAGCTTCGTTTATTTAACACCTCAGGAGATGCCACCAATCCTGACAGAATGTATGACCTTGTTGCTGTGGTAGTTCATTGTGGAAGGTAATAACTGTTTTAAGCAAGGGGTTTTTGTATAAGCATAACTGTGTTTGAAAGGGCAACACAAAGCACCCAGTATCATATAAATCAATAGCATTTAAAGACCTCTTAAAAAGAGAAGGTTCTCAGGAAAAAAGCATTGTTGGGAGAAAATACCAGTCCTGACAGGGTATGTGGCTTTGGTGCTCTGACAGGTCATTATCAAAAGTGCTAACTGTATTATACATTACAAAACTTTATATGAACCTAACTATGCTAAAAAAACCCAAAACCAACATAAAATGCACAATATCATAATGAGAAAAGAAGTCTCTTCGGAAAGAAAGCATTATAGAAAGATGAATTTAAAAAGTATTTTCTTTAGGGTAGGGTTTTTTCCTAAGGCTTGAGCAACATTTTCTGAAATATATCCACACAGGACGAGTTCTGTTGATTACTTTGTTCCCTTCCTTTCAGATTAGGACTGTTAGATTTGTATTTGGTTTTGCTATATTCATCAAATGTTCTTGTGGCTTCAAGGTTTAAAATCAGGTTGTTCTACAAACTGCTTATTGAGTAGATAAAAGCCCAAAAGTTGAGAATTATGATTTGATGTCTAGAATCACAGAACAATTTATGTTGTGAGGTCAACTACTTAAAGCAGGGTAACTTTGACTTTGATTAGGTTGCCTTGGGGCCAGTTTCATAACTAGGAATGCTGATTGCACTTTGTCTTTGGACAGTTTGTTCCAGTTACTCAGTTTTCTCACAGTGAATAAAGAGTAGAGTTAAGATAAATATATCTCAAATTGGACAGTTTTGGAAAATAAGCCTCTGTGCCATAGTTTTCTGGGACACTCCTGGATTTTAAGGAGAATTCTCTCTGACCATTCTGTCTGATTCCTACCATTTCTGGCTCCTCCTTTGAAGCTCCAGTCTTGGGGACTTCTCTGTTCTCAGACCCACAGCAGGAGATGACCCCTGTTGTCATTGTGTTGGTGATCTGGTACACAGATAGACATGTCCCTCCAGGATGGCAACCTTCCCTCCCTGATCCAGGCAAAAATCCGTATGAATGCTGTTAGTAGCCAGTTGCCAGTTGAGGCAGTTCCAGAAGTGCTCTAATGTGGTTGTACAATTTCATTTGTAAGGTTCAGCTGTTTCAGAAATTGTACTGCTTCCTTACTTGAAATCTGATGAGAAATAAGACACACTTAAAGTTTTGGTGGAGACTTTTTATGTCATAGTTGTGGAAAAATATATTATCTGCCATAACTGAAGATGCTGAGCATTCAGTAAGAGTTTTAATTTAAGCCCCTCTCATTGCTCATAAACTGCCAGCTTAATTCAGTTTTTGTGTACAGTGAACCAGATGAAGAGATTCATTATTAAAACTGTAGATGAGCTTCAGTTCTACAGCTTTTTTCTTTCTGAAGTTTAGAAATAGTTTGGGATCTGTTCTGTCTCTATGGAAATATCAGAATGCTTTCTTGATTCCACTTCTCTGTCTCTGTTTAAAGATTTCCTTTGTATTTTCAATGCCTGTGCTGCTTATTCCTCATTTGAAATTATAGTCGTTCATTTAGCATAATAAATAAGACCCTGTCAGGAAGATGATGTAAGTACAGAGTAAAAAACCAAAGTGAAGAAACATCCAAACAGAAATTGTACTGGTAGCTGTTTTAATTACTGGTCAGTATTGATTTTCTGGAGAAAAAAAAAATTAAATGGAATACATCACTGCATACCTGTTTATTGTCTGTGTTCTTCTCTAATTTTCTTTTACAGTGGCCCTAACAGAGGACATTACATTGCAATAGTGAAGAGTCATGATTTTTGGTTGCTTTTTGATGATGATATTGTTGAGGTAAGCCCAAGCAGAGCACGTTGTGTATATCATTTAAAGCAGAATGCCTGGTATGTTAATGAAAAGAAGCTTCAATTCAGTCTAAATGAACAATAATTGTGTGTGCAGAGCTGTGCCTTACAGTTTGACTGTGCAATGCTTTGAACTGCATTTAGACTTCTATACTTGAAAGAAGCTCCTTTGTTTATGACCAGTGTCTTTCACCATTGTTTAATAAGCTATTCTGTGGCCAGAAGGCAAATAAAGGTACAGATTAATAGGTTTTTTAGCTTACAATACACAGGAACTTACAGCAACACTTAAAAATTTATATATGGAAGATATATAGCTGACCCTCTGTGTAGGTGACAGCTGAGGGGAAGCTGAAACATGGCAAGTTGAAAAATTATTTGAATTTTATTATTTTATGTAACTATATTAAAGTGAATTTGGTTTGACAGTAATTTTTAAAGCGGGATTTCATTTTGTGTGTATATTAGACAAATATTCCATCTTTAAATTTCTGTGTTTTTGCATACAGAAAATTGATGCACAAGCTATTGAAGAATTCTACGGGTTGACATCAGACATCTCAAAGAACTCTGAGTCTGGTTACATCCTCTTCTATCAGTCTCGGGACTGAGGGGAGCTGCTGTAAAGAGAGATTTTTGTGTCTCACATCTTCTCTACCGTGGAATGGAGCAAGCACTGGAGAGAAGGAAAGCAGGGAGCTCTAGGGGCAATAGCACAGTTTGCACACAACTACGTAAGGAGTTTGGGATTCTTAAAACTTTTGTATAATTTTCATTTTATTTGCTCAGGTATCATGCTGATTACACATCTCCACTGCATCCCATAAGCAAAAAGAGAGATACCAGCCACTCTTGCAGGAGCTTTTCTTTGGGGAATACTATCTCTGTGGTCCTTGTTCAAAGGCCATTGAAGCCTTTTATGGACTTCAGTGGCCTTTCAATCAGGTTCTCGCTGTGCTGCCAAATTGGTGCAGTTAGGAGCATGAGAAATCTGTATTTTATACAGATTTTATACAGACTTCATGTACAAAAGGTAAAGGATTCTCTGTGAAGTTGGTTTCCTGTGCTTAAGTTTGAAAGAATGAGGTTTGGAGGGTTAATATTAAGCAAGAAATTATGTCTGGGCCCAACACAATTGCCTTCTTGATGGAAGTGGTTTAACTGAAGGTGTAAACTGGTGTCAGGGAGGCAAGGATGCTTTGCTTCTCTGAAGAAGCTTACATTATTTATAATGTGTGGTCGGGAACAATCAGTCAAGATTATGGCTTTTAATCTCCGTATGGGGAAGGATTTGGTTTGTAATAGCTTATTTTTATTTATAAATTATTGTAACTTAGGATCTTGTGTATTGTCGTTTATTCTAACAAGTATTGGAAATTTTATATATTAATTTGAATTAAAACTAATAATGTTTAAATGTTAAAGGAGAGCCAATACAAATTATAAAAATAATGCCTACAATATCTGAAAAAAATTAATAACACAGAAGAGAGATTTCCTTTTGGAGGAACTGGTATCTAACTGAGGTACTTTATTTAATTAAATTAGAACAGACTTCCCATTAATGGGTGAAAAAAAAAGTCATCAAACTATTGTATAGAATACTTAAATTGTAAGAAAATGGTGGTGCAGTGGTGGTATACTGGTCTTTATACTTCTTTGATAATTTGTTAATGGTTCATACCCTAGGCAAATGAGAATTATTTGAGTCAAAGTAAACAATTTTAAGAATATTATTTCCTCTCCTAAAAGCGGGTCAACTTCTGTTAAACATTAAATTACGTCTGAGTAATAAGAAGAAATAGGCTTGAAATTTCATGAGACTGAAGATACTACATTTCTGTAAAAGTAGTAATGTTTAAGTCCTGAATAATGAAAATTTCTGAAACTAAGCAGTTTACCTTGATTTAGGTTTGTGAAACAGCATTAAGAATTAAATCTTGACAAAACACCTGATCTGTAAGTAATGTGAACTATTTGACATTCTTCACTGAGGAGTGCATTGTCTGACAGTAGCTGAATGTAATTTCTGGAAGGTCCTGGGACATGCATTCTAGATTATGGCAATCAGGTCTTGGATGTCCTTGTCACTCCCTCGTCAGCTAATGATTTTTACATTACTGTAATTTTCTAAGATTATTTTATTGATACTGTTACAACTTTTAAAAGAATGTTTCCTGTCTGCTGCTATAACTGACTATTTACTTAACTGTATCTTTTAGCTCAGGAAATGACTTCTCCTATTCACTCAGAACAAAACTTTAACAGGGTCACTAAAATTGGGCTATTTAGCAACTGTCCTATTGTAACAAATCGCTTTTGTAAGATGCGGAGTTTCTAACGCCTTGGTTTGGCTAGAATTCTTTTATAGAACATTATGTTTCATTATTAAACTACCAGCATTATAAAGTAAAGCCTAAATATTGTGGGAGATGCAGAAAAATATGATTGGATTTTTCTGAAAGGATTCAAGTAATGTAAAAACCTATTTTCAGCTTTCAGTAGAAAAAGGGTTAAAGGGGTAAATCAGTTGGATAATGGTGCATGTTAGAAGGATGAAGTCCTTTGCATACTAAAGGTACAGTATTGCAAAAGAACTGTCATATTACTGTTTGCTAATACGTTTGGTCTTTTTTTTCTTTTTTTTTTCTTTTTTTTTCTTTTGTTTTAATATAGTTAAAAGCTGAGGCTAGCTGGCAAATGTTTTATACCTTAACAAAATTTAAAACATTTTTCTTGTTTCACTGGTTTTACTCCTGCTATGTATTTTTATAAGATACTGACTTTTATTTTGTATAGGGGTTTTGAGCTAGTATTCCAAATTATATATTTCATTTTTCTCTTAGTGCAGCTGAAATAATTGTAAGTTCTTGATTAAACTGATGTCAGAAACTGCAACTAAAAAAAAAAAAAGAGACAGAAATATGAATTATAACTGATTGGTATGTAAAACATTGTAGGATTTTTTCTTGACTGTAATACAGTGAGGAGTGTGGGAAAGTTGTCAGTTATTGTAAATGGTGGACTTTATTTGCTGTGTAACTATGTAAATGTTAATTGGGATTACAGTCCCTCATTTTGTATATTGGAGCAAAAACTTCTATTAAATAAAGTATGTTCTCTAAAGATACATACTGTATCCTTTGTGGAGGCCAGATGGTCAGTCAGCTGCCTTTTGTGCTTTGCAGTGTTTTCAAACAAAAAAAAAACTGTCTGAAACTTCCTGAATTAAGACAAATGCCCTGAGCCCTGGAGGGAGAAGTGTTTTTAAATAAACTGCATTAAGTATCTTACTCGATATGTTGTTAGGGAAATAATTGGGTGTCAGCTGATTTTGGGTGGCGTGCTTGTCTGGAAGTAGATTTCTCGTAAGTCCTTGGTCTCTGAGGTGGAAGGGAGTTTTAAATACTATTCTTTCTGGACTACTTCCTTAAAAAAATTTGTACCTTGCCACAAAATATGGAAGTTGCCCAAGGGGTTTCTTGTATCACCACCTTGTGGGAAGGAAAACAGTAGGAAAAAAAAAAAATGGAGTATTTACAGCACTGATGTGAAAGAGACTGACCAGAGTCCAGTCTTCCTTTCCAGAAGGAAAAGGTGCAGCTGGTTAAACTATCTTATATGATCTGGGATCATTCTTTGCTTGGAGCCCACTCTTCTTTTGTACTGAAAGTCAATAAACTTGGAGTTTTATGAAAGTTCAGACCCTGCCATATTTGTCATTGTGATGGCTGAATTGGTAGCCTTTCACTGCCTGGAAGTGGTGACTCTTAGGTGTTGAGGTACTTGTGTGAATGGTCAGATCTAGTTGTGGTTTCAGACATTAGTCATAGATCAGATTGCATCTCCTCAGGTGGCCTTCAGGTGATGTTGGCACTTAGGGATTTGGGGCCACTTCAGATGCCCCACCACGATCTGTGACATCTGCATAGCACTGGCAGATGAACATAACACCCACAGATCTGTATCCTTCTGGAGCAGCCACTTGAAGCTGGGTATGACATCCTGGTTTGTTCCTTGTGTCTCTGTCTCTGTTTTTCCACAAGTTTTCAAAATGTTTCCACTTTTGCATATGCTTTGTTTGGATTGTATACAGATGACCATCTGTATTGGTTGGTTATTCTCTTTTGTGGTGATGTTCGTGAAGTTTAAAACGTGAAGCATCTGAAGCTTCTTGTTGCTTTCCTAATCCCCTTACTAAAATTAAAGAAATATTATCTTGTGCTATTTGGTCTGGTGTCTCAGCTGTAGATACAAAATGGTCATGTGTAGTCTTACTATTGAGCTTATCCTTGTAATTGAATGAAATTTTCATTCATGAAAATTCATGAAATGTGTCATCTTCAATCTTCAGTTACCAGAATTTATTTTGTGGTTTTTTTTCTTCATGCCTTTTCCTGTGGGAATTTCCACTTCTCTTTTTTTTCTGTTTAACTGCTGACTTTGTTCAGTGACAGAGTTCAGCCTGGTCTGAAAGATGGGGAGTTAGGGGCTTTGAGAAAGTGTTGAAAATGCATCAACAACTCAGGATGGCAAAAAGGGTTGGGTGGTAGTTGGTTGGTTTGGATTTGTGGGTTTGATTTTTTTGTTTTCATTTTCTCATTGGTTTTTAAAGGTGTCTGAGAGTAGTTACTTGAAACTGTATTCTTAGATTAAACCACCTCTTCAGTTACCTTTATCTCTAAGAGCAGAAAACATTTCAGTACATGTTAATTATCAGTGGGCTGCAGTATTACACTGAAGATGCTTTTGTGACTTTTCTGAAAGTGTAAACAATCCAAGTAAAGACTGTTTAATTCTAAAGAGTAACTTCACTGTGTAAGATTTCCGCTTTCCCCCTCACATTTATCTGGGTTGATCTTGAGTTTGTGTGTCTTAGAATTTTGGGGCTTTTTTGCCCCTTGACAGTGCAATATGCACTATTTATGGTTTAGGTCTTGTAAGGCTTCAAGGCCCGCTAACCTCTCGCAGCATACATTAGTCTCTTTACCTGTGAGCCTTCAAGTATTCAATTATTACTGAATTAATATTCTACATAATCTGTATTCAAGGATGGTTCACTTTGCAGCAGCTTTGCTACTGATTGCTAGAAATGAAAACTGGCAAGTCAACTACCATGCCAACAAACACAAGCTTCATCTGTTAAATACAGAGATCTATGAAATCCATTGTTTCCAGTTTTAATCATAGAGTGTGATGGGGCAGAAATTAACTTTCTTTGGTCTTTGTTAAAATATGTTCTTTGGGGAACTTCTGTAAGAATGTGTTGGATATGTAAGGAAGATTATAGATAACACCAGTTTTGAAAGGAATTGAGTAACATCTTACAGTTTCTTTTTAAAAGTACAAATAAATTACATTATTTCTCTCTAATGGCTTGTGATTGCTGCATAAGAGATTGTGAGGGCTCAGAAGACAGCAAGGTACTTGGTAGCCAGGTCTTTGTTATGGAACCCATGTTGGCATCATTAGGGAGCTTTAATTCCAGAAGGATAATCAGTCGTGTCCTTGATCTGCATTCTGCAGGTTATGTAATCCAGGAGAGAGAACGCACAGCAGTAATCTGTCCGGAAGTAAAGACAAGGAGCTCTACAATCATTTGCTACCACAACAGACATGAAAGCAGCATTCCCCCAAATGACAGAATATTATATTAAGTGCAGATTTCTGGTATTTGGAGAATTTAGGGGGTGCTCAAAACATCCTGCCATTCTAGGCTTTTTCATGTCTTCATGTGTGTGTTTAATTTGCTCTTTCAATCTATTTGAAATTTGTGTCTGTACACAGATTCTTAGGTTGATATGATTGTATTAATGGGTGCTCGTCCAGAAAGAATTTATGCATATGTGTCACATGGAGTGTAATATTTTAGTGGTCTGATCTACAAAGATTCTCTGACTCTTAACAAGTACTTACTTGTGTATTTTCTGTAACTAATTTTAGAAAAAAAATTACTGAAGTTCTGAAAATATTCATTAGCATTGTATTAATAAGCAATTCAATATCCAGGGGTGCCTCTGCTCTTGAGTGTCGGCTGAATTTGAGTGCCATCACATAATAACACAAGTTGATGTGCAGCCGCTGCTTTGCGGTGTGATGGTTACATTATTTCAACTCTTTTTCACTGAATGTTGCCTCATTGCAGTGGCTGCAGTGATCAGCCTGTAGGAGATGTGCTAACAACATTCAGCTTGAGTTGCCTACTTCCATGCTCACACATTTATTTGGCTTCCTGCAGGCTCGTTATCCCAATGTTACGACACATCAGTCTTCTCTCCATCTTCCATGTCAAAGAAGATTCCAACACACAGCTTCAGACAATGTTTGGTAAATTACCATGTTGTATGTCAGAGATGAAATCTGAGGTATCTACAGTGAAAATATCGGATGCTTTCTGTTTTCTAAATTGTCATGTCTCTGTGATGAAAGTACTCTTCAACATAAGAAAAAAAATTGGAATCATGGGATTGAGCAAATGCAGTCTTGGTGTACCCTTTTCCTCCTGTTTTTAAGGAGACTGTGAAAGCCATGCAGTGTTTCTCCCTAAGACTGTTACGTGACTAGAAACATATTTGAAAAATGAAATCTTTCTTTTAGAGAAGATGCCCTTAGATGATTTCTGAGTTTGTTTAGAGTTCCATACAAAGGCACGACAGTGTTCCACAGGGGTCTGTCAGAAGCAGGTTAGGAGAAGACCTGCTAGGTGCTGGATGCCAGAGGGGTCTCACTGCAACTGTTAATTCCAGTGCAGTGTAACAGGACCCAAATTTTGCAGAGCAGCCGCCAAGAACCTGTGAATAATGGGAGAAAACCTGCATTCATCAGGGCTGTAATTGCTGCATATGCAAGGCTCTGACACAGACCACTTTGACCACTGACTGCTCCTTTTCATTCCATTTTTTTTTTAATAAAAGGTAGACAAACCATTTTAAATGTACAATTTCAATATGTATACGGTATGTATACACTGCTTTTCAAATTGTTTTAAACTTCTGATAACTTTTCTTGAATTACAGAGAATTTGAGGGAGATACTACAGGTTGAGGTCAAAAAGTGTATTCCACATATATATCACATCACCACGATATGGTGTGATTTTTTTCCCCCCGTACTTTGTTTGTTGCTTGTAGAAACATTCGTAATTCACCAAAGGAGACGAGACAAAAATCACTGTAATTCCTAAGCTGTCTTTTGTCTTTTTTCATTATGGAATTGTGTGCAGGGTAATACACATTTGTGGGGGGAAAAACACATCGAAAAATAACTTGGCAATTTAAAAAAAGTTGAATGCTTGATAATTTTGTGCTTCTGTGAGTAAAGAAAATTATCAAAGAACATGAAGCAATGAAACGCTGCTTTTGGACAAATTCGGTAAATTTAAAAAATAATAGCATACTGAAAGCTTGTTAATAAGGATTAGAGCAAGATGAAAAATAATTTCAAGGCTTTGGGGCCAAAAACAGTGATGTCCCACAAGGCTGGCTGATGGGGCAGTTTGTGTTACAGCAGTTATTAGCCTGCACTGTGAGCCTGCATGCCCAAAATCTCTTGGTGTTTGTGTTGTACGTCAGACACATCTGCACACGTCAGAAGACAAAAATGTGTGTTCAGATGAAGACTTCCATAAGGAATGTACCTGGTATAATAAGGACAGCACAGCAATGTTCATCTCTAGCTGCTCAGATGACAACTTCCATTTTGGAAACCGAGAAGGAAGAATGTGAGAATGCAACTGCCAAGTGTCCCCCTCATAAAGAGATGAATCTTGGGTTTATATGAGGATTCTGAGTCCTGAGTAATCCAGTCCCACTTCAGTGTTTTCCATCAAGAAAATGTGCTCCAAACAGCTGTCACAAATCTCAGGAGGCCTCTGGCCTGCCTGGTACTCATTCTGCTGTATTCTGGTGTTGCAGCCACCTACGTGAAGTGCGAGAAAAGTTCCATCTTATAAAACACTCCTTGCAAAATTAGTGGGAAGCCTGGGTAGAAAACTGCATAAGCCGGTTGCTTGCTCTTCCTCTTGTGTGCAACAGGCACAGCAGCTTCAAGGGTTTTGCATATGCTCGGTGGTTTTCATAGTCAAGACATCTTGTTCTAACTTGCTCTGTTTGGTGGTTTTTAACTGAGGGGCATTTTAGCATTTGCTCGTGGCGATTATCTTATTAAACCATGATCTGACTCCAATTTCCATTCCTGTCTGGGCAGGTATAGAAAACATTTCCTGATGTTTCTTGGCTGTTTACTTAAGTACTAAGAGCAGCAGCGTGTTTTCTGTTCAGTTCCCTCAAGGTTTGGGTAAAATTGTAGGGGTAAGCATTCAAGAAGGTTATAAAAATCCAGTTAATCATTAAATTTAATAGGAGTTATGTATTTTAAATACTTCTGTTGATGAGGACAACAGATCATGTAGTGCAAAGGCATAATTCATGTGCAAGCAAGGAGTAATGCAAGTTTGTGGTCTTGAATATCTGAGAGAACAAACCTTTCAAGTGCTCCCTAAGAGCATAGGGACCCTCAAAAAGCAACAGTTCTGTCTGAATGTTGTCCTGCTGATTCAGTGCAGATGACTTACCTTTTCTAGTGAAATGAAAAGCAATGAAGCATTTTTCCCATTCTGCAGACAAGGTCTACAGGAATTTTGGAGGCTTGAGGTGTTTTTCATTCAAAATTATTTTGATGTTTTATGATAAATTATTGTCTGGAATCCTTCTTACAGATGGTTAAATTTGGTGAATTAAAGTCCTAAGTTTCCTTGTATCAAGGCTGGCTTCCCATTGTTGCTGTTATTTTTTTAATTATAGTAAGGAATATGTGGAGATTAGAATTCAGCTGTCACATTAGTGCTCCATTTATTTGGCTGATTGCTGTGTTGTGGATGTCTAGATAATTATATGTAAATCACTGACTTCTTGCTAATGGCCAACTTGAGGGGTTTTTTCCACCAATCTGTCAGTTCTTGAGTGTTTCTTCTAAAGTGTGAGAAGGAATTAAAAAAAACATTTTGACATATTTGTGCAAAAGTAAGCTGAATGTAGACTTGCAAAAGCGTGGTATCTGAACACGGATGTTTTCAAACTGCTACTTTTATATGGGAAATCATTTAAAAGCAAAAACTGCTGAAATGTAAGTGCCTGAAACTAATCATGTCAGTGTGATTTAAAATTCTCCTTGTCTTCTGAGCATTTTTTCAGTGTCAAAAGTGAAAGTCCCCTGAAATGAAAAGGAGCTACATAATATGTATCTTTGGAAAGGTCATTACAATGTGGGTGCCTAATACAGAGTTGGAAGCCTAACTTTCTATGCAGAGTTGACAATTTTGGCCTCAGTTATTAATAGAAATTTTTCAGTGGGTT